TTGTTTCTTGTGGAAGAAGTTAAATCATAATCCACTCCCCTTTTATGTTATTGTTTAGCCATTATTTCTTTACAGTTGGCCTCAGAACTTAGGTTCTCTATTGTAGATTTAACCACCTAGAGATAAAGATCCATAATAATGGCTAACTTTAATAATGATTTTCCTCAAGAGGGTAGTTCAACCAATAGGCCACCTTATTTTAATTGAATAGATTATCTGTATTGAAAATCTAGGATGCAAATATTTTAGAATTAGTAGATTTGAGGGTTTGAACTGTTGTTGAAGAAGATTATGAATATACTACCATCTTGGATGATACAAATCAAAGGGTTCATAAGAAAGTTAAAGACTTTAGTGATTTAGATATTAAGGAAGCTCAATGGAATGCTAAAGTCAAAAATCTCATAACTAATGCTTTATGTATATATGAGTATTTTAGGATTTCCTCTTGTAAGACCGCAAAAGAGATGTGGAAAGTGCTAGAGATCACACACGAAGGCTCTAGTGAGATTAAAAGGTTAAAACAAAATGAACTCACTAGAGAATTTGAGACTTTTGAAATGCTTGATGATGAATGTAATGCCCCATCTTTATCACAGTTGTTAACATGCAAAATGGTATATAAAGCGCTTCTTGATAATAAAAAATTAGCGGTTTATTCAAAATTATCACTGTCACACTACGTAATATAGTGACTAAACTTCTTTCCTTTTAAAATCCTTACGTATTGTCGTACTTAATATAGTTCTTGAATTTTCTTAAACTATACAATATCATACCTGTATAAAATTCTTACTTGAATCCATGTGACGATACATAACAGTCAATAACTACCCGAATATGATATCTTGTACCATTTCGGATAGAGTCTATCGGACAACATAACAGCTGAAAGTTAGACAAACTAGGGATAAAATCTCACTGTCATATCATGTACCTGAAACTCAGATAAGTCCAATCCAAATGTATATACTAGAATATGGCTCCATGCCATTGCTAATTTCATCTAGCATATCATGTACATGTCTACATCCCCATGAACATCAAAAGTATATCATGATATAAGGCTAAACATACCTTGAATACAGACTGTATAAGTCAGATATACACACATGTCTCTCAAAACATATATCCAACTGTACGTGTGCATGAACATATAGATCATGCTCTATAAAACATATATATACATAAATCCCAGAATAGACTAAAAGTCCACTGCAACTTAGTCCTCTAGCGCCGTATGGGATTCTTGCCCTGGGAGGGCTTTCCTACTGCTATTGGGGTACCTGAAATATATATCCCCAAACGAGATAAGATTAAACATCTCAGTAAACTCTGGATTTATGGAGCAATCTTCACCCAAGAGTTCACTTCCTGCATGAAAGGTCAGATACAGAGCAAATAATATAATATGTCATCTTTCAAATCATACACACTTGCAATTTACAGGATAATCTGACAAAGTGATCCAAAGGCTTGGTCCCTAAGGATCAGATACTCCCGAGGCTTGTCTCCCTCATATGGAAAGTATCAAACTTGTAATTCATCAAACAACATGAAATCTTATAATTCTTCAAACAACTTGTAATCTTATAATTCAGCAAACAACCTTTTGAGGCTTGTGTCCCTCTTATGGCAAGTATCATGCACTTTCAAGGCTTGTTTTCCTCAATAAAAGTACATACTTGTAATTGGTCAGTGGCCATGAAACTTGAATCAGACAAATCACGAATCAAACCGATCACATCAAAACATCTTGTATACTTATATACTTGAATCGAATAAATCACATCAAAACATCTTATATACTTGGATACTTGAATCGAATAAATCACATCAAAATATCTTGTATACTTGGATACTTGAATCAAACAAATCACATCAAAACATCTTGTATGCTTGGATACTTAAATCAATTACTCCCTATCTTAAGTGACTTAAACTCCAAGTTATTCATATAATTAGGATTCTAACAACTAAAAATGGCTAGTAACTCATTTAGGTACCTAAAAATGCATGTCTTAGGGTTCTGTAATCGTGCATCAAGAGAGAAAAACACTAGAGTACTCAAAATTAAGAATCAAACCCCATTTCGCCTAGTTTTGTTTATTCTTGATAGAAAGCTCAGTATCTTCTTCTTTTCTTCATCTTTTTATGTTCTTTTTTTTTGTGTTTGAACGTAGAAAGGTTTCCCTACTTATGTTTGGACGAGTTTGGTTGTTGTGATTGGTTTTGTGACAAGTTGAGTGATCTTAAGGGTGTTAGGTTAAGTGTGATATGGGTTTGGTCACAAGTCTGGTAAATCCTCTTGTAAATCGATTTTTCAAGCATCAGTTGGAGCTTGAAGATAGTAGAACGATCGACGGCAGTCTGGATGAAGCTCTCAAGTGGTTTGAGAGTGAACCAGGATAAATCTTGGTGTTTTCTTCTCTTTTCCCTATCCTTTTGTTTTTCGCTAAATGTAACTCGTTTTTGATTCATTATATATGATGTTTTGAATCTGTTTAAAGATTGGGGAATTTTGTTAATTGATCAAATTTATTCTTGCATGTTTTCTTAAAAAGAGTTTCTAGATTTCATTGTTTTGTCTTGCTTTCTCTTATCAATCTCATTACCGCTACTATATCTTTAATATTGCATGTTATTTGGTATATTTTAAATTTATTTTTTATTATAGGAAAGGTATAGTTTCTGTTTCAAATCAGTTTGCATTGAATTCTTGAAAAAAAAGGTTTGGTTTTCTTTGTTTCTTGCAGAAGAAGTTAAAACATAATTCACACCCCCTCCCCCCAATTTTGTGTTATTGTTTAAATATTCTTTCTTTACAAACTGTAAACCGATCTGAATCGTACCAAAAGAATTACATTCTTTTAACTAGTTAAAGAACCAAACCATTTTCTCAAAACTGATTCAGTTCAAGAAACAAGCAACTTTACCAATTCAGTTCAGTTAGGGATAAAACCAAACCATACTCATTCTTAAGAATGTAAAAAACCAAATGAAATAAACCAAATCGCACCATATTTTTCAAGCTGGATTAAGAACCGAACAATTTTCTCTAAACTAATTCAATAAAAGAATCAATTTTTAAAATTTATTCACTTTTCCAATTAAATTTGGTTCGATAATTGTGAGAAACATTTTAAAATTCATGGAATTGAGTGAGTAATTAATGCAGTTGAGTAAGTGTGTAAGGCCAATCATAAAGAAGATCACGTTATACATAATATATAGAGGGTTAGTTTATGACGAGGAGAAAATTATTAATTCGTATTGTGAATTTTTTATCCTATAACAAAAATAGGGAATAGGCCATAAAAAGAATATACTAGAGGTCCAAAACAACATGCGACTACCTCATTGGTAGAACAAGTTCAAACTGTTGCTAAGCAAGAGCTGCAAGGGTTGTTGACATGTGTCAGTTGAATGCTTTAGTTCAGGAAAGATATATAAAGTTAATAATAAAATTCAAAGAATAATATGAATTTTTTTTTTTTTTTTGGAAACAACTAATTTGAAGATTTAATCCGTTTTGAATGCCTTTTTCTTCTAATGTACACCAAAGTTTTCTCCACGCACCTTTTTTCTCGCACAAAATACATTATAGATGCATCTTACAAATTCGGGCTTTTTGACCAAATAGGGGTTTTCTCCCCTTTAATTTTCTTATTTGGTATTCAATTCTCGGTATTTACCAATGAGAGTTTTTTAGTGACGCGGAGAGTCCCAGTAACACTAAGTGTCGTGACCACCCTTTAGGGCACTCACATAACTACTTTTTTTTTTGGTGAGTGTCGCGACCGCCTGGGGCACTCACACGATTGTGTCAAGTGGTACAATCTCGTTACCCTAGGCAATCCCATTACCGTAAAACTTCATAAGGCCAAAACTTCATAGGGCACTCGGTAACCCAAATCAGATATTTTTTTTATTTCACATAACTTTTCGAGATCTACAAAATGACACTTCATTTGACATATTTTATCTCTCACAAACATAGTTCGAATTTGTAACAATGGTACCACAATCACAAGAAAAAGACTACGAAAAAAAATTAGAGCAAAAATGGAGAACCCACAGAGCAGGGATAGACAATAACATGATGGTCATGCTTGATGCTCTGAACAAAACTAATTTGAAAATCAAGGAAACTAAACAAATTAAGGGTTTCTATCTCTTCCCCCCAAAATTTGGCAAACATCATCTCGAGATTTAAAAACTCTTGTGATTGTGATACCGTTGTTATAATTTCGAACTATATTTGTGAGAGATAAAATATGTCAAATGAAATATCATTGCGTAGATTTCGAAAAATTATGTAAAATAAAAAAAAAATCTAATTTGAATTCTTGAGTCAAAAATTATGACTTTTCAAAATTTTATGACAATGAAAGTGCCTAAGGTAATCAAATTATATCACTTTACACAATCATGTAAATTTCTAAGAGGGTCGCTACATTTAGCTGAAAGAAAGAAAAAAAGTGAGTGCCCCAAAAAGAATCACGACACTCAATAACAGTGAGCCCACGACATTAAACAACCCCATTAATAAATACTTGGTAAATACCACGGCACTGAAAGGGTAAAAAAACTCTCTTTGATCAAAGAGCCTACAAATCTGTTTGAATCATTGAGTCTTACTCTTCTCTCTATCTCCGTCTCTCTCTAGGGCAATTTTCCTTTCTGTCCACTTTACCGGGGACGATTACCGATTAAAAAACAGCAAAGGGAAAAAGAGTGAAAAGGACACCATCTTGTGAAAGGCACACGGCAACAAATTCATTATGTTGATACGTGTCAATTGATCAATGAACATTTGAAGCTGTTGATATGAAGCTATACAGTGATAAAACCAACTCATTATGTTGCCGTGTTAGAACAGCTTTTGAAGAGATGCTTATTCGTGGCAATATTGCATTTGAAATTGAAACATGACTACGACAGCAATATAACATTTATAGTATATTTAGATAAATTATAAATTATAAATAGAAAAAAAAAAATTATAATCCTATAGGTGGTTACTACTATTTATTTTTTAATAATGTACGACTAACTCTCAAATTTTAATGACCAACACAACTCTGATTAAGAAATTACTTACATAACAAAAATAACCCACTCTTAATACTAAGATTTTTCCAAGAGATCAATAAAACCACTATCTGCCTTTCTTCCCCATACTACCAACCGAGGCATTTATCTTTCAACATGAAAGTAATTCTAACAGTAAAAAACTAACACTAAATAAGTTCGTTCCGCTGCTTTTAGAGCTTTACCAAACTGCATATATGCCCACAAGTTTAAATAAATAGCAAAACCAAACAAGAAAGGCACAAAATGCTTGTGCCTATTCTCTTCACGTATCTCTCTTATTCTCTCGACGTATACTTAGATAATGTAGAGTCAGGCTCATGTAATAAGACTTATATATATATATATATATATTAGTATTACTATATTATACATTTACTACTAATTTTGTCTGTCGCTGTCTTGGAGGGACAATAGTTACACACAAAATAGCTCTAGTCCTATAGACATAGCATAGCCACAGTTCTTTTCAGAAGCATTATGCATATTTAGCTCTCATATATTTACTTTTTCTGCCCTCCCAGCTTAACAGAAGACTAGCCAAGTTTCCCATCTTCTCTTACTTCCCCTACAACCCCTTATTGATAATGAACACTCACACGACACACCTTTCTTCAACTTTTTAAAATTTCTCCAAACAGTTGCAAAGACTCTAACTGGAATAATACCTAACCATTTCCTGGTGCAGAGGGGCTTGTCCTCAATCCATAGAACTTGAACTTAGCTAGCTATATATACATGTGTCTATGTACATATATAGATATATAATTGATGTCTATGTGATTTTTCAGAGACCCAAGCTAAGCGCAGCTTTCACGTCTAGCTTCCATGCAAAACCACCACAGTCCAATCTCCAAACATCACACGGCACCATCTTCGTGCACTTCTCGTTCCGCCACGTGTACTGTAACCTCACCCCGCAAGTGAACGCCGGGTAGGAATAACAACACCACTCAACACTATCCTTCACCTTCAACCACACCACAATCTCAGGCCATGGCTCCTCACCAACCACCATCCTCTTGTACGCGTCGTTCACCCACCGCACTTTATAACAACCGTCCGATACAAACCCTGGACACGTGTCAGTTTCTAGATTCTTCACCTTCTCAACGTCCGTACATCCTAAACCTTCTCCTTCTCCTTCACCCATGCACGTGCCTGTCACGCTCTCTACCGTCACCCACGACTCAACCACCACCATCTCCGCCGCAGCAACCACCTGATCTAAAATCTCATATCGCTTCGCGTTCGCCGTCGCGCACGGCGGTTTTAAATTATCCATGAATCGGACTTTCTCCACGGTTAGGTTATCAAGACCAACGTTCTTACACCATGAAGCTCCGGCGAGCGAGGACAGTTCCGCCTCCGCCACAACCCGATCTAAGCCCTTACCAACGTCAGCGTTCGCCGTCGCGCACGGCGGATTCAGATCCTCGAGGATCTGAATCTTCTCCACGGTTAGGTCAAGATCAACGTTCTTACGCCACGAATCTCCGGTAACCTCGCCCCGTTCCGGCGCGTCCTTCTCCGGCATCAACTGCAACGTAACAACCGCCACGTTCTCCACACCATCTTTTCTCTCGGAAGATCTATTCCCTTTCTTTCTCGCGTATCCACTGTTCCTCCGAACTCTAACGTACTTCCTCTTCGATCTTTTCCCTTCTACCTTGTTTATCTGGCTTACCTGAACATCCCCGCCGGCGGAGTCAGAACTTCCGGCAACGGGCTTTGGTGCGATCGGCCGGAAACGGAGCATTATCCTGTTCAATATCTTGTTATCAAAAGCAGCACCATCACCGCCACACGCTGCCACTCTCCACGAATCTCTGCCGTCCATCACGGTTTCGCAACCTTTTTCTCTCTTCTCTCTCTCTCTTCACCTCTCTCTTTCTCTCTCTATTTTGGCTGGTTTGGTTACCCTTCTCTTCAGTGTCGCTGAGATTGGAGCGGAAGCGATAATGATAACTGCAGCGAGGTGGCTGGGTGAGGGTCTGCCACGTGTCTAGGGCAAAAGAGGGGGAACAGTAGAGAGAACGTGATTGGTTAGTTTTTTCAATTCGGTAGTGTGGGACCCGAAGGGAAAGTGGCATATCTGGTGGGACCCACGTGGCCAATGAGGGTGGAGATAGTGTCCAACTCTCCTGGAAAGAGAGGGGGGGGTAACGTGGCCTCATCGCAGGGAACAGCACAGCACAATATTCTCGCCTTCGATGTGGAATTCACTTTTTGCCTCGCAGGAACTTCCAGAAGGTGCACACGTGCAACCGTTTTATTTGCCCACAAACTAATGTAGTACGCCTTTATCAGAAGTTTTAACAAATGATCATATGATACGTGTGCCCAAAATTAAGTTTTTGGAGTCAATTAGTTCTTTAAATATTAAAGTCTGTGTTATGGTTTGATCCTTACCTTGTTTCATTTAATATTAATTAATTAATTTTTATGAAATTTTGGAACAGTGATCAAAATGTCATTGTTCACCAATTTTTTTACCTAAATGTCACGCGAACAGTGTTATTTTTCAATCTGTCACGGGAGCAAGTTCTACCCGGTGTAGCGAACTCGGTTTACTGACGTGTCACGTTTCTAGTGGACACCAAGTTCGCTACCCAATGTAGCGAACTCCATCCCCCCCCCCTTTTTTTTACTTGGTACTTGTTATCCACTATAAATATGACACGTCAGCAAACTGAGTTCGCTACACCGGGTAGCGAACTTGCCCCTGTGGCAGATTGAGAAATAACACTGTTTGCATGACATTTAGATAAAAAAGTTGGTGAACAGTGGCATTTTGATCACTGTTCCTGAAATTTTGTAGTATAGATAAGTGGCTTTGTGTATTGTTTATCCTTCAAGTTCATTGAATTCTTATGTGAAGGAGAATTAGAGATATATAAAATTATTAATGTGGTCTCACATAATAATTTAATCTCTTGGATTAAATTGAATTTTTATTTAAGAATCGTAATCATATAAATGTGAATTAATGATAATAAAATAGAAGGGAAAAAAAATTATTGGGATGAACGGATGGACAGATATAAAATTATTATTGTTGATTTATTTTGTATGTTTATAATTTTTTCACATGACATAATTATGTTAAATATTTCTTACGTGTTTTATTCCCCATTGTCTATACTATATTAGGCTTGCTAATTACCATATTAAGGGGAACCGTGGTCAACATGCATATCAAATTACTGGTAAATATTTTGTGCGCCTTCAATAGATTAAATATATTTTTTATCATATTATTAAATTAATTTTTAAAATAATTGAAGTTAGAGACGAAAATAATAATTCATATAATTACTTTAGCGCATATAATCGAATATATATAAAAAAACTCTTATTTAGTCACCGTGTCAACGTGAGAGTCTAGGCCATAGTAGTTAAAAACGAAATTTTATCTAAAATCGAAAGGAGAATAAAAAATCGTAAATCGTAAAATCTTAATGTAAAAAAAATCATAAAATATCGTAAAAACGTAAAATCGTTTGGAATTTTGATAAAGTCGTTTTGATTAAAAAAATCATAAAATTGTAAAAGCATAAATTTAAATCAGAATTTTAACTACCATGGTCTAGGCAGCTCACAAGGAGTATGATAATCCTTTTCAAGAGAGAAAATGTCATATTAGTCCTCAAACTTTATAACCTTTATATCAACTTTGAATTGAAAAAAGTCCTTCGACCTTTGTATGATCACGTTTATCCCAAACCTTAAATGACAACTATTTGATGCAATGAACGTACTTTTACCTGGAAGAGGTACGCAAGATCGGTATTTATTTATTTTGCGTTCAGTGGTGTATTACATGGAATTTCCTTATTGTATCCATAATGGAACTTCTTGAGACTTGGATATTGGTTCATGTATAGCCGCATGATATTTTGGGGTAGGCATTAAACCATCTCTACCGTTGGAATCTATAAGCTCATTATGTTTTCTTTGGGAATAATATCACTCTATGGTTGGTGCCACTAGCAAAGGTAAAGATCAAGTTAGAGAACACTGTACCAAGTATGATGGCAAGAAGATAACAATGGATGATTCAGTATGAGTGTATGTGACTTAATATAAATGGGCATAATAACGATACATAAGATCCGATCCTTTTCATGGTGCGCCCAAGGGGCTCTTTATAGGGGAAGGTGGTGCGCACCTGGTGTGAGTTGGTGAGGAGGGGGTTAACCCTCCTTGGGATTCACAACGGGTGGCAGTGTTGGGCGTGGCAGGCGCTGCTTTGATAGCAGCGCTGCGCCCTCTGCGTCTGGCGGTGTCAGCGTGGGACAAAGGGGCAATTTCCCTTTGTGGTGACTGTGGCGGTCTCCCTTGGGGGTTGGGGTCCCAAGACAGGACGTTTTGGTGCTTCTCCTAGGGAGAGTCGTTGCGTTGGGGGTTGGGGAGGGATCCTTGGTAGCTCCTAGGGCTGACGTGAGCAGGAGGCTGAAGCTGGGCCTGAACCATGGGGCCGCCAATGGTTGGGTCATCCGGAACAAGAGCCCCCCAACTTGGTAGCAAGTGTAGGTTGGTGCCAAGGTAAACAGCTTAGGCGATTTGGACGGTTTCGAGTGTGGTTTCCTAGGTTGACATGGCATTGGCGTCGCCTTCTTGGCGATCTTAGCGGTTGGCAACGGCCGCTTAACCAAAACACCTGAGTGGCTGACGCCTAGGTAAAGTGTTTGGGCGTCACCTGAGTGGTGTAGGAGTAGTGCCCGATATCTTAGTGTTTGGGGCTTCCTACCTATATAGGTAGGAGTAGCGCCCGATATCTTAGTATTTGGGCGTCATAGGATGGTGGTGCCAGAGCGAATTGATCGCCAGGCATTCCTTAACTGCACGCAAGTGGTCATTGGCCGTATCTTGGGAATGCAAGAGGTCGCCCTTGCTGTTGACAGTCGCTCCTCTTCCCAAGATGATCGCCTTGATGAAATGGGGTGTAAGGTAGATGATCTAACTGCTGAGGTTGGGCATCTCGGTAAGGAGGTTGCCGACAGAAAGGCTGCGAATAAGTCTTTTTTCGCACAACTGAAGAAGACGAAAAGAGAGGTTAAGCACCTAACCTCCGATAAAGATGACATATCTAAGTCTCTGGAAGAGTTCAGGAAATAGAAAGAAGGTCTCCAAACCGAAAAGGCCCAGTTGTCTACTGACTTATTTTCTGCGCATGGGAACCTTTACGCCACACAGGAGGACCTCAAAAAAGCAACTGTGCAGGTGGCAAAATTGGAGGAAGCCTTAGCGAGCCTCTTGTACGATTCTTTTAACAACGCACTCTAGCAGGTTTTCGTTCGGCATCCTGAGCTTGACCTGACTGGTTTCAACCCAGAGTACGAGGTGGAAGACAACAAGATAGTTGAACACCTAGCAGATGGTGGAGTGAAGGTAATTGAGGAGGGTCTTGATACCGACGAAGACGAAGGTTCGCCGGAAGCCTGTCCAACCAGCCACGCCATTGGTGATGATAATCCTGAAGAGGATCAGGCTGGGCGTGACTTGTCAACCGGGGTTGCTGGCGTGAATTTACCTGGCCCAGAGGTGGAGGGTGGTGGCGATGCTATCGCTGCTGGCGTGGCGGAACAGACTCTGGAAACTGCAGAGGAGGCGACCCCTGCAGGCCACCAACCCCTTTGACTTGGGCAGTTTTTAACTTGTCAACCAGCCAGTAACTTTGTCTTTCCAATGGTTGGTATGCTGACCAGTAACTTTGTCTTTATTCCTTTGGTTGGTATGTCAACCATAGACTTGTAACGCCTTTGTGGCCTTTTAATAAATTTTGTAATGCCTTTGCTTAATTCCTTCTTGTTGCGCCTTTGTTTAATCAATTTTTCTTACAAACGAGTGTTCGGCTTCGTCTTACGATTGCCAGCTTTGCTTATCAACGGTAAGCACCCATCATTTCAGCCAATCGTTAGGCGGGGGTGAGAACTGTCCCGCAACTTGGATGTTGGCTGGGGGTGAGAACCGTCTCAGTCCAACGTTAGGCGGGGGTGAGAACCGTCCCGTAACTTGGATGCTGGCTGGGGGTGAGAACTATCCCAGTCCCGCAACTTGGATACTGGCTGGGGGTGAGAACCATCCCAGTCCAACGTTAGGCGGGGGAGAGAACCGTCCCGTAAATTTGATGATAACAGAGAGCAAAAAGATTGGCAATGTGATTTTATTGATCAAAAAGAAAAAACCTGCCTCATTAAAAACCTTCCCAGGTAAAACCCTGTGGGACAAAGGCGTGGGAAAGAAAAGAGTGCAGCATACAAGTTACATTGCGGTTTAACTATAGTATCATTGGAGCTTGTCCTAGTTCCACGCCCTTGGGATGGCTTTTCCCTCAAGTGTCTCCAAAGCATACGCTCCTCCTCTTAATTTGTTGGCTATTCGATAAGGTCCTTCCCAGTTTGGGGCGAGCTTTCCTTCATGGGCGTTCTTCTTTCTGATGTATGCTCGCCGAAGAACTAAATCCTTTACTTCAAATCTCTGCCTGATTACTCTTTTGTTATACCGAGCAGCTACTCTTTCCTTGGTTTGGCGCTCAGATTGTGCCACTCGCTCTCTGATTTCATCCAGAAGGTCTAGGGCTTCCTTGAGATTTTGGTTGTTGGTCACATGGTCGTTCCTCCAAGAGGGTTCTCCGATCTCAACAGGAATCATTGCCTCCGTGCCGTAAGCCAATCTGAAAGGGGTTTCTCCGGTACTGGACTGGGCGTTTGTCCGATAGCCCCATAGGACGTTCTCCAGATTTTCTACCCACGCCCCTTTATGAGATTCTAGCTTCTTCTTAATTCCCTTGGCGAGCATTTTGTTAGCCGATTCTACTAGCCCGTTGGATTGTGGGTGTTCTATGGCAGCGAAATGGTGTCGAATGTGCAGGTCCTTCATTAGCTCCTGGAACTTGGCGTCTGTGAACTGAGTACCATTGTCCGTTATGACTTCTCCTAGGATTCCAAAACAGTAAACAATATGTCTCCAAAAGAACTTCCTCACCCTTTGAGAGGTAATGGTAGCAACTGGCTCAGCTTCAACCCATTTGGTGAAATAGTCAATGGCGACGATCAGCCACTGAACTCGGCCTGCTGCCTCAGGGAAAGGGCCCAAGAGGTCCATCCCCCATTTGTAAAAAGGCCAAGGGGATGTTATCACAGTAAGTTCGTCTGGTGGGGCTTTGTGTATGTCTGCAAATCTTTGGCACTTATCACATGCTTTGACGTGCTCATCGGCGTCATGCTCCATGGTCGGCAAATAAAAACCTGCTCAGAGTGCTTTCTTTGCTAGAGAGTGGCCGCCCATGTGGTGGCCGTTGATTCCTTCATGGATTTCTTCCAAAATGTACCCTACACCGCTGGGGTTCAAGCATTTCAAAAGTGGGGTTGAGAAACCCCTGTTGTACAAACGCCCCTGCATCATGCAAAAGTGGGCGCATTTCCACTTGATCCTCTTGGCTTCCTTCTGGTCCGCTGGGAGGGTACCCTCTGATAGGTAGTTGGAGATGAAAGTGATCCAGGTATTTTCGGCGACTCCTTCGGCGATGTCGGCAATACTCACGACGATGCATGGATTAGGCAGGTTATGCTGGATGTCAGAACGATTATTACCTGGACTTTTGGTGCTTGCTAGTTTTGCGAGAATGTCTGCACGTGTGTTTTCTGATCGCCTAATGTGCTCAATGTCAACTGTCTCGAAGGTCAAAATGATCTCTTTAACTTTCTCTAAGTACTTGCACATCAGCGGCCCTTTAGCTTGATATTCACCCAAAATTTGGAATGTCACCAACTGAGAATCACTGAAGACCTTGAGACGTTGCGCTCCCAACTCTTTGGCTTGGAGCAGGCCGGGGATCATTGCCTCATACTCAGCTTGGTTGTTAGTGGTATTAAAGTTGAAATATAATGAATGCTCCATCGCCACCCCGTCTGGATTTTCAATTATCATTCCGGCTCCAGTGCCTTTGGCGTTGGTAGAGCCATCAACATACAGCTTCCACATCGCCAACCTTGGGGTTTCTGTTGCTTGGCTAGCTGCTGCGCAGGTGTGCGTCATTTCGGCTATGAAATCTGTGAGAGCTTGAGCTTTAATGGAAGTTCTGCGTTCGTAACTGATCTGGTACTCCGACAGTTCAATCGCCCAGGACATCATTCTTCCGGCGAGATCAGGTTTGTGCAAGATTTGGCGAATAGGCTGATTGGTTCTGACTGTAATAAGGTGGCATTGGAAATAAGGCCTCAGCCTTCGTGCGGCGAAGATGAGTGTGAGGGCGACCTTTTCAACTTGTTGATATCGCAGTTCCGCGCCTTGCAACACTTTGCTGACGAAATAAACCGGCAGCTGCCCTTCTTTAAGTTCTCTTACCAAAGTTGCGCTGATGGCTTCAGCACCCACGGCGAGGTAGAAGTACAGAGTTTCACTACTGCCTGGCTTGGTGAGGACCGGCGGGCAGGATAGGGCTCTTTTGAACTCCTGAAAAGCTTTCTCACATTGATCAGACCATTGAAAAGACGTACCTTTTTTAAGTAAGCCAAACAAAGGGAGTGACTTATGTGCAGAATTCGCCAAGAAACGGGTGAGGGCCACTAGCCTCCCGGGCAGCTACTGAACCTCTTTGACTGTTTGTGGACTTCGCATCTCAATAACAGCTTTTCACTTGTCAGGGTTGACCTCTATGCCTCTCTTTGTCAGCATGAATCCAAGAAAATTTCCAGCGGGGACGCCGAAGGCGAACTTGCTTGGATTCAGCCGCATGTTGTACTTTCGCAACCTATCAAATACGCCTTGAAGGTGTGAGCGGTGTTCCTCTGGCGTTTGCGATTTGGCGATCATATCATCAATGTACACCTCAACGCTGTTTCCAATCAAGTCTTTGAACACTTCATTCATCATTCACTGGTATGTGGCATCAGCGTTCTTTAGTCCGAAGGGCATCATAGTATAGCAATAATTGGCGCTCTGGGTGATGAACGCCGTCTTGATTTGGTCTTCTTCAAGTAATGGAATTTGATTATAGCCGGAGTATGCGTCCATGAATGAGAGCATCTCAAAACCTGATGCATTATCAACCAGCTGGTCAATGCTCGGAAAGGGATATGCATCCTTAGGACATACCTTGTTCAGGTCGGTATAATCCACGCACATCCTCCACGCCCCGCTGAGCTTTTTAACCAACACTGGGTTGGAGAGCCAGGTTGTGTATTTAACTTTTTTAATGAAGCCGACGTCATGGAGCCTCTTTACTTCCTCATCAATCACTTTCTGGCGATCGAGGCCAAACTTCCTCTTTTTTTGTGCCACGGGCTTTGCTTTGGGGTCCACGGTCAACCGATGGCAGCACACTTCAGGATCAATGCCTGGCATATCAGACGACTTCCAGGCAAATAAATCTCTATTACTTCGTAGCAGTTCTATCAACCTGCTTTTTACTTCAGGATCGGCGACCGCCCCGATGGTGGTTGTCTGATGGTCTACATCGCCCAGGACAACATGCTCTAAAGCTCCATCTGGCGTAGGCCTGGAGTGCTCCATCCTAAGGTCGTCCCTTGCATCGAATTCTACAAGAAAGCATTGATCAAGATCCTTATTATTACTACTAGGGTTTTTTTTCAATTACCTGGGTTGTTATCATCCGGGGGGCAGGTTGGTTTTTGAAGGAAACCCTGGTCGTCGGTTTCAAAGATATGTTATAACAGTTGCGTGCTACCATTTGGTCTCCTTTAACCGTTGCGACTTTTTTATCCCTTGCTATGAACTTCATTGCCAAATGTGGGTGTGACACACTCGCCTCGAATGCGGCAAACATCCTTCTGCCGAGGATGGCGTTGTATGTTGACGGGGTGCCGAGAATTAGGAACTGGATGTCAGACCTGGAAGTGGGTGGCGTGCTCATTGACAAGCGTAGATTAATCATGCCAAGGGGCTTGGTTACTGTTGCATTGAAACCTGACAGTTCACCAACAATAGGGGTTAAATCATTCACCGTAAACCCTAATGCTTTGAAACAAGGTAAAAATAAAATATCGGCAGAGCTGCCATGATCAACAAACACGCGGTTAACGCTAAAATTAGCTATTATTGCTTGGATGACCAAGGGGTCATCATGTCCGGGTTGGACGTCGCCCAAATCGTTGTTGTCCCAAATGATTTTTGGCCTGGTGTAGTCAGTATTAGCTTTTGCTTTGTTGATGATTTTACCGAACACCGCCAGACATTGTTTCAAATGCTTCTTTCGGGCGTTCGCCGTTTCTCCGCCACCACTTAGTCCTCCTACAATCATGTTTATAATTATGTGCTTGATGACAGCCGGATCCTCGTCACGCTCTGCACGCCCTTCACTATTGTTTGGGCTGGTTTGGACCCTGCGGTTTCTTGGGGAGTTTTCTGTGTGGTTCTGTTCACGGCAAGGTTTGTAGTCATACTGGCCAGCTCTTCGCCTTTTTGGTGACCTGCTACGCTGACGGCGACGCCTGACGGCACCAACATCACACCCGGAATTACTCGTCTGCCTTTGGGCTCCACCCTTGATTAGCTCGTCAATCTCATCCTTGAGAGATCTGCACTCTTCAGTGCTATGACCGTTGCTACGGTGGAATTTGCAATACACAGTGGTCTCTCTGTCTGACTGTTGGGGCTGTGGGTTACTCTTGCGTTCTTTGTATTCAGTTTGTAAGACGTTGTATGATTGGCGTCTTTGGATATCATACCCAATTGGGCGGCTGGAATACTTGGAGGATTTGCGACTTCTCCTCTCTTCATTCGGATGGTCTTTTTTATTGGCTTTCTTCTCTCGGTTATGAGAGTCCTCAACTCTACTCCCCTTGTATTCTTCAATCCTCATGAACTCCTGAGCCTTTTTCTTGATTTCTTCAAGGTCAGTAATTTCGTGGCGGGCAAGCTCGTATGCGAACGCCCCTTGGCGCAGGCTTGACAAAAGTATGTGCACCTGCACTTTAGGGTCTAAGCCTTACACCTGAAGAGTCTCTTTGTCAAAGCGGTCCAAGAAAGATCTGAGGGGTTCCCCTTATTGCTGTCGAATTTTTTCGAGGGCGTGCAATGACTTGGGCACTGGGCGGCTTGTTGCGAAATAGGTCTGGAATTTGTGGCCAGATTATCCCAGGATGCTATACTCCTTGTTGGCAAAGTGGTGTACCATGTCAAAGCTCTACCCCCCCAGGAGTGTAGGGAACGTCCTGCACATAAGGAGGTATGTCTCACCATGCAAGGTCATTGCTGCCTCAAATTTCTAGATCCGTTCAAAAGGATCAGTGTCGCCCACATACGTTGTGATATTTGAGGGCTCTTTGAAACCGAGGGGTATGGGTGTTAAGCGTAGACTATCAGTTAGGGGTTTGTTGCGTCCTGAGGTGTTGGCAGGTGTTACTCTTAAGTTCGGGTTACGAGCATGTAGGTCTGGTGGTGGGTGCGGTGCTTGGGGGGTTCAACAGAGTAAGAGAGGGTTGGGGCTTGATGAGCGCCATACTGTGGCGGGTCTGGGTTTATGCCTGATCCTTGGGGTTGTGGGATGATAGCATTATGAGGCGGTATTGCGCAACCGTGGAATGGAAAGCCAGTAGGGAAATGTGGGGGGTAAGGGGCAGCAACATTGTGGGTGTAAGGTCCAGGGGAATATGGGGCAGCCACTGGAACTCGGTGGTTGTTGTACATAGCGACAGGCTGACTCCTAGCTGGTCGTTGGTGATAAGCTGGGGGGATGATTTGCAGGCCAGGGATGGGGAGTGGCATTCCAAAAGGAACTCCTAGCGGTGGAGGTTGATTTGGGATCAAGTTCTCTCCATGCATTTCGCGTATGGCTACGCGATGATGCAGCTGTGCTACTTCAGCGTCTGCTGCTGGTAACTGTGGGCCAACATATTGCAGTACCGGGGGAAGGGCCTCGCCGGCTGCTTACTCAGCTTGGTCTTAATGCATGGATGGAGAGTTAGAATGAACTGTTTGTGCATGACCTTCAGGGGTAACAGCTCTTGTTTTTTCTGCTTTTCTTGTCGTGACAGCTATGTTTTACTATCAGAAAGTGAAAATGTCTTCTTCAGATCTTTGGTAGGAGAATGGGAATGAAAGTTTATAGTTTCCCACAGACGGCGCCAATGTACCATTGGAATCTATAAGCCCACTATGTTCCCTTTGAGGATGATATCACTGTATCGTTGGTGCCACTAGCAGAGGTAAAGACCAAGCTAGAGAACATTGTACCAAGTATGATGGCAAGAAGATAACAATGGATGATTCAGTATGAGTGTATGTCACTTAATATAAATGGGCATAATAACGATACATAAGATCCGATCCTTTCATGGTGCGCCAAGGGGCTCTTTATAGGGGAAGGTGGTGCGCACCTGGTGTGAGTTGGTGAGGAGGGGGTCAACCTTCCTTGGGATTCACTACGGGTTGCAGTGTTGGGCGTGGCAGGCGCTGCTATGATAGCAGCTCTGCGCCCTCTGCGTCTGGCGGTGTCAGCGTGGGACAAAGGGGAAGTTTCCCTTTGTTGTGACTGTGGCGGTCTCCCTTGGGGGTTGGGATCCCAAGACAGGACATTTTGGTGCTTCTCCTAGGGAGAGCCGTTGCGTTGGGGGTTGGGAAGGGATCCTTGGTAGCTCCTAGGGCTGACATGAGCAGGAGGCTGAAGCTGGGCCTGAACCATTGAGCCGCCAATGGTTGGGCCATCCGAAACGCCATCCACCAAGATTTTTTATCAATTTATGAGGTTAAACACACAACTCTTTCCCCGTATAAATAGAATCTCTGTTTAGTACCTCACTCACTTCTTGCATCAATTTTATGTGCAACCATCACTATGATCTTGTGATACACATCTACTCTTCGAAGCTCGATTCGATGAACTTATAATTCCACTACCTGTCATCCACACCAGAATTTGCCAAGGGGAATCAAAGGAAGAGAGAAGACAATGGCAAGACAAGACACAATTTGAGAATTGAGAATTCATGAACTAATTTGACTTGCTCTTACCACATCAAACGGTCACTGGCCATTTCACTTGTCAGGCGGGTCCAGGGAGAAGCCCGTGGCGGGGGCCCACCACCAATGAGCTAAGTGGATCAAATACACCAAGTGGGTCTAACACCACATCTCAACCCAAAATCTTAAGGCATTGAGTTCATGGGTCCTTTCACTTATATATTTTTCACTTAACTCATTACCAACCAATGTGGGACTCATCATATTTGAATATCCCAACAATCTCTCCCTCAAGTCTGAAACCCAACATTGATATATGCTCCCCTTCAACCGAGTACCCCAAGCGCAAAGTACTTAACCCGCGTCCTAGCCAATCACCAGGCTAGCTTGAGCCCAACTCGGCTCTGATACCATTGTCAGGCGGGTCCAAGGGAAAGTCCGTGGGGAGGACTACCACCAATGAGCTAAGTGGAACAAATACTCCAAGTCGGTCCGACACCACATTTCAACCCAAAACCTTAAGGCATTGGGTTCATGGGTCCTTACACTTATATACTTTTCACTTAACTCATTACCAACCAATGTGGGACTCATCACACTTGAATATCTCAACAATGTGAGCTTAAATGGTCAAATCTCAAACGGTTGCCGATGGTAGCTAAGTTAACGCATGAGAACGGTGAGTGAGAGCATATTCAATCCTCCTCAATACTATCTTTAGGAAAGATTTAAAGCATTAATTTTTGACCTGCCCCGAACAGAATTACTTCCCATAGAGGATATCTTTGGTTTATAAAAAAAGAAGTACCAAACGGTTGCTATCTAACAAAAAAGACTAACGTAACCGAAAGATGCAAAGTTGGATCAGCTCCAAGCAATTGTTTTTAATTCAAGAACTAACGTAAAATATATCGGTAACAAAATTTGAAAACTAATCAATCCACATGCAT